CTTACAGCATTTCACCATGAGCTGATATCGCTTAGAGAATAATTTGAAAACCTGGGAGAACTGGACAGCTGTTTTGTCCCAGTTTGAAGCTCCTAACAATGCACACCTACGGGCTACGAACTCAGGACCTTTCCGTTACAAGCCGATCTCGTAGACTACTAAGCCACTATGACACGATCCAATGGCCTATGAATTCAAATTTATGCTAATTCACGAAAAAGCGCTACTGATGGTCAATGATTTCGACGAATAATTCCATTATAGATAAGATTTTATTTTGATAAATCGCACAGTGTTTACAGTTATATGAACTGATGACGTTTCGAGCACAAACTATTGCTCATAATCATATCAAGTTACTCACACAACTTTGATCTCTCATTTATATACATATGTGGAATGGATTAGATATTGGATTAAAAATCAATGTGAGATAATGTACATTCAGAAATAATCGTACGAGTGTTGTTGATCAATTGCAATTAGATGGGAAAATTGGACGAGTGTTTTTACAGTCATAATAAGCTGCTTGTTAGAATGTGGTTGAATTGAAATAGAATTTTAAGATTATTTATTATCTTCTTCTGGTTTGACTGATGGCATTAATACGAGTGTTATTGATCTACTATAATCAGATGGAAGATACGACGAGTGTTTTAATAGTCATAATAAGTTTTTTGTTAGGATGTTGTGATGTGCTTGAATTGAAATAGAATTTTAATATTATTTATTACCCTCTTCTGATTTGACCTGCGGTAATAATATCTTCCATATCTCTGGTATTTGCATTGAGTCATTTTTGTTGCATGTGTTGGGTGTGGACTCGATAAATAAGGATTCCGTAATCAACCTCTCTCTCCACTTAGCTATATTACTTTTTAGAATTTTAACCCTATCCCACCCTATTGTGTGGTTGTTTGTTATTGCATGAAGTGCAATAGCTGAGCTTTTTTCTAAATTACTTATCTTTTTAGGGTCAACCATTCTTACCTTAGCTAAATTCTTATGTTCTGTTAATCTGACTATCCCTGACCTACTAGTTTGACCTATGTAGTTGACCTCACAGTTATTGCAGGGTATTTTGTAAATTATATTATTTTGTTTAATTGGATCCACCGGGTCTTTTAGCCTACAGAGCTTGTCTCTGAGTGAGTTTGTAGGTTTGAATGCCACCCTAATTCCTGCTTTATTAAGAATCCTACGTAGGGCCTCAGATGTGCTTTCCTTATATGGTATAACAGTGGATGACTTATATTCTTTCTTATTTGTGTTATCATTAGTAGTTTCACCATTATTTTTATTTTGCTTTTGGTTTTTGGTGATCTTCCTAATGAATTTTATAGGATAGTTATTCAACACCAACGCTTCTTCTATCTGTTTTATTTCACCATTTAGGTCTTTTTTTGTGCTACTTAGTGCTATGGCTCGATTTGTTAGACACTTTACTAAGCCTGCCTTAACAGTTAACGGATGAGACGAATTAAAGTCTAAATATCTATTAGAATGCGTTGGTTTTCTATAAACACTGGTGTGTAGTTTGCCTTCTTCTATTCGTTTTATTTTACAATCTAACATAGCTAATTCTCCTAGTTCATTTTCTGATTCAAATGTGAATTTAATTCCTTCTACTTGTGAGTTTATATGTGTCAAGAAGCTAGAGATATGTTCTGTTGTATGTATATAAATGAGAGATCAAAGTTGTGTGAGTAACTTGATATGATTATGAGCAATAGTTTGTGCTCGAAACGTCATCAGTTCATATAACTGTAAACACTGTGCGATTTATCAAAATAAAATCTTATCTATAATGGAATTATACTCTACCACAGTGCCCAAGTTTTATACTTATTTCGACGAATATTTGTTCTCACACCTGACCTGCTGCACCCTACTGGTCACGACTTCTTACGAGAATCCTAAGTAATTACCGATCTGAATGGGGCCAGTCGCTGTGAAACACACAATTAGTTTTCAAATATTGGTTTGTACGAATTTGATTTATTACTTACGGGATTTCATCATGAACTGACATTGGGACATTGCTAGAGAACCATTGGAAAACCTGGAGGTTCTGGACAGCTGTTTCATCCTAGTTTTGGACACTTCAGCTATATGCACACACCGGGGTCCAAACCCAAATATTCTGGCTACATTATTTAACCTCCCATTAGCTAACAAATCCGCAAAACATACATATGTTGATAGATATTCGTGATACACATCGAGTGTGATTATGCTTGTGAATATTCCAGGTAACATAGGTTACGGTTAAACATGGAGTATTGAACGCGGTTTGTAATGTCACCATTCAAGTGGATTTCATAGGAGATATGCTTAATTACTAACACTAAGATGACTCGACATATGAGTCAGTATAAATCATTAGTGGTATTACAACCACACCCTCTTCTAACAGAATGTGATTTTAGAATAAACCAAGAAAAAGAAGAGAAATATTCAGTTTAAGGTGTGAGTGGGTGAGTGTCAAAATGAGAGATTAATAATCACCAAAACAATTAATTATCTAGTATTAATTTATAAGGAATTAACTGGTAGATGTTAGCAGTAAGATATCTAAGTTTTTGAGAAGGGTTGAACATAACTTACCATGGAATTCGAAATCAGTCAGTAACAGCTGGCGACAGGCTACTATATAATCAAGGAATTTGTAAATTATTGATGACTAAGAAGAATAAGATGGCACACTCGATGTGTATCATGAATATCTATCAACATATGTATGTTTTGCGGATTTGTTAGCTAATGGGAGCATGAATAATGTTTATTTTTTCATGAGGTTCCTGGTTGTATATGCTTCATTATAGTGACTCATGATGTTCGAATCGAGTCCCGAACTTAAGAATTCGTTTCTTAAGTATATTGAAAAGACGAAAAACACTTCAATATCTGAAATCACGGGTTTAAGATTCATTTCGTCTTAGTTTGCAAAGCATTAACCATATGATAGGGAGTGAATTTAGCTGACACCTCTCCCCGTCAGTTTTGGAAACTTTTGTTACAAGCAGACCATTGAAGTTTCAGTTACAGTGATGTTGATTTTATGTTTTGCGGTTGTTAGCATCTCACCTCTTCAACAAACTGAAAGGTATGGGTAAAGATGCACAACTTGCTTAGTACAGCAGTTAATTTCCTAACACTTGAATCCAAAGTAAATTCACGATTGAATTGAATTTTTGATTTTCCCGTCGATTGATTGGACAGAAGTGCTCGGTCTCAGGTTGACATGTCGTGGCCCAAGTGGTCTAGTGGATAACGCTTTGGCGTTTGAAGCTATGGGCACTGGGTTCGAGCCTCGGTGGGAACATCATCACTCACTGAGAAATGCAGGTACATCCAGCTGACGAGTCCCAAATAGGACGAAACGCGCATCCTGGATTCCACTGCTAGCCACCATCCACCAATTGTATATAAATTCACGATTGTTTTATACCTGAATTATAAAAATAGCTTAGTTCCACAGTATTTGACCAATGAATACAGTTATTAGTATTAACAAACGTAAATTGTCCAATGAATTTTATGATAATGTAAAATGTTCTCATTGTGAATTTTCTGAATTATTTTTTGAATGGATTACAATTATTATTATTATCATTTGAATAAATATTGTTCTCTTCAGTTAGAGTGGAGTTTGGGACTTCAACAACACGATAGCATTTCCTCTTCTCCGCGTGCCTCTTCATCTGGCTGCATGACTGCCCATAGTCTGTCATCTCCTACTCACGCTATCTTTTCCGTGTTAAGCTCAGACCAACACATTACTCTTCATTTTTTTATTCGCTTGTCAATCAAGGACCTGGCGTGAGACGCTTACTCATTGTATATCCGACGGGTCTTAATTTTTTCTTTGGTGTATTTATTGATTGATGGGTTCTTCGCTGGTTTATTCCCAGTGTTTCTTGTTGATAATTCTTTCTGGCCAATAGATCTTCACTATGGAGCATCTATTGATAAAAGTCTTCAGGAGCCTGTTACAACTATCTAACCTATACTGAAGGATTGACTTAACACTAGGTGTCAAAAATGCAAATTTTATTCTTTGCGCTGACTGAAGCGAATTTCTATACTCTTATGAGAGTGATGAAAGTCTGTCTTGTTATTCTGCCTTCGACATCTTCACCCGTGCTGTCTCCTGTATAGTTGAATTCATGTTGCTTACATATGCGAAGGAAGTGACCTCTTTCATTGTATTCTGTCAAACTCATCACTCAACATATACTTGTGAACCTGTAACTACAAAATTATCATTTCAGCTTGTAAATATTTGATAAGGAAACATTGAAAATCAATTTTTATCAATCCAATAAACCTGCAAGTATAAGTTTCAAGGAGAAAATCTAAATTTAAATTGAGTGAACATACTTGGCACGTATTTTATGTGATGAAAATAGTGTCAGGCAAGAATTAACTAACCTTTTTTCATCTAGTAAATGAACAATTTCCTCCATCCATCCTTATATACCTTCAAGTCTTACTTTTATTGTATCTATTATATGTATGGTCCTGTTGCCTCTTTGTTCTACTCTGATAATTGCAAGCACAAACTTATCTGTATGACTGCTGTAATCTTTGTTTTTCCCCTCACCATATCATGTAAAGAGAACATTATATTCAATAATTTTTAAACAAGCTAAGATTTCTATACGCCATCGACAATACTGTGTGAAACAAGCCCACGGCAATTTTCACTTGTATTTTTATTATTACCTTAGCTGTTATCATTATTACTATTTCCATTTTATATGCTGCATGTTTTTGACACTACCTCTATTGTAAATGTGGAAAGTTTTCTGTGTGATTAATTTTCATTTATAATTTGAGGATATTAGATGTAATATTGTGATTAATGCTGACAATTCCATTCTGTATCACAAGTACTGTTTTTGGAATAAAGTAAATCATTAATATTATTATTAAAAAAACGTACATTTTAATATTTTTAAAACTTCTGCATTCTTTTGTCTTTTTTTTATTTCAAGGCATTGAAAGATCCAATCTGGAATCGATATTTCACAACAATAACTATCAAGGCATTTGGAGATGAAATCGCTTTGTCACATTATGCATTTGGTTTTATTATCTACTATGCAACTGGTTGTAATTTTCGTCTACGTGTTCATCAATTATTCAGAGGGTTATTTTATCGCTTAGGTTGCCGTTGTGAAGCACTAATGAGGCTTGGCTTAAATGATGACAGTGAAAATATTCCATCATTTGCTCGTCGGTCACATAATCGTTTGCTGACAAATGGTGATCGACTAGATAATAATTTCGACTACTCACCTCACTCTCATCATCATCATCATCAACATCATCAACAGATGCTGCCAGCAGATACAAAATCGACTACAAATGACCCATCACCACAATTAAGCAAACAAACTTTATTTAGAACATCTGAAGAACTCCTGAAACCATCGCCACGATTGAATTCATTTCGAAGGGAGTCATCTCGGCGAAATAATAATATTAATGGAATGTCTAACTCAGTGAATCCTTCTGTATTATCTGGATAGCATAATCATTCTTCCTCCCTTATCGAAGTATGTTCATAATTCGAAATACCCCAGAGGATCTTATTTGTTACTTAACAGTATAAAAAACTGTGTACTAAGAGTACTTTTCGTTTCCCTTTTCATCGTCTATATAATTACATAATTTTATCTAATAATATTACTAAATTCCCTTCTTTTTATTGTTTTATGCAACACGATTTTTTTCGAGAAATCAAATATTTAACTGGTATCCAGTTATAGTGAAAATAAAACTTAAAGACGTCAAGCAACATGGAGTGATAAACACCTTCTCCATAAATGCATTTAAGATTTCTCATAGTTCCCTGTTTATATATGCCATTTGTTTGTGTGTGCATGTATGTATATGCTTAAAAGTGGGTTGTATATTTTATTGATGACATCTAACTCAATTTCATGTGTATGTAGATATACCCGTATGATTTATATACACTTGTACCTTTATTAATGTCATTTAATGGTTATATAAGTAATGTCTTTTTAAACTGTGTTTTCTACAGCAGGATGTTTACAGGTTGATTGAATGTAAATTTTATCCCTAATGAGTAAAAATTTAAGCGGCAAGAAGACATGAATACGCTGGATCGATAAGAAGACTGTAGAAGATCTGGATTTCGCAGATGATTTATGTTGAATATCATAGAAATCCGAAGGCCTACAGATGGAAAACTAAAAATCTGACAGAAAAGGCACAGAGCGGAGGCAGGGCCTCAAGTGAAGTTAGCTAAAACGGAGGTGATAAGGATAGTAAACCAACAAAAACAACAATAACACTCACAAATAACTACCAATGGAAGAAATTTGAATGTCGTCTCTTCTTCTTCCACTGATCTAGTCAACATCCTTTCAATTACAGGGCGAATGGATGAGGATGTCAAAACCAGAAGAATCAGAATGGCAAGAAAGAGCCTCGCTACTCTGAAATCAGTGTGAAAATCTTCCCAAGTCAGTATAAACAATAAGATTCAGATCTCTTACACCAATGTTAAGTCAGTTAGTCCTTCTCCATGTGTCAGAAATTTGGCATGTCAAGAAAAACACTACCACTGGGCTTCAGTTTTCACTGAACATGTACTTTTTCTGGTTAAACAGTGGAGATAAGATGACCAGAAAGAATTAGCTGCAATGAATTCTAGTAATAAACCAACCAAGAACTTATTGCTCAAAAAGGAGATAAGCAGAAGAAATTGGAGATGGATAGGACACACTGAGGGGACCGTCGGATAACGTCGCACTCGAAGCTATCTCTCTAACTGAACCTCAGTGAGAAACAGCAAGTTGGGCTGGGGCTCAAGGGTAACACAGAGGAGACCACGTGAGTAGGATATGAAGCCTATATGAAAATCGTGACGACAGCTGAATAAGACTTCAGGAAACAGAATAGATTGGAGACGTGCTGTTGATGCCCTATATTCCATTCAGAACACACAGAAACAGTAATAACTCAATGAAACTCTGTTATGATGTTTTCCGTATCTGTTTACAAATCCTCCGCAACATAAAAACTTTGGTATATCCTAGTGGTTAGCCTTGTTTTCAGCCTTTAGACTTTTGCACAGAATTTCCTGAGATAAATGTGAAAATATGATGTCAAGGTAATGCAAAATACTACTTAAATACAATTGATCTTTGTCTTTTAAAGTATGTTGCAGAAGACAGCTATATCGGTGTGTGTGTGTGTTAACTACTATTTTTGTTAATTAATACCTGTTATTTTATCTGCAATAATTTCAACAGAATGAAATATGTTAAATGTGACTATAAACAACTCCTGTAAATACACTGATTTTACTGTCCAACGTTTATCCAACAGAACGTTTTATCTTCCCTCTTTTATGAATTTTAATGAAGCAAAAACAAGAGTTTGTGTATTATCAAGTAGTATCATCATTTATTTTGCTGGCTTCTCAACAACTGCGTGCAGCGTAAAAAAATTGTTAGGTTGAAGTGTAGAATAATTTCAACATACTTGCAAATGTTACATGATGTCAATTGACAGAAAACTCTAAACTCAATAAGCAGTGCACGGGAAACTACACTCATATAATTTTATCCAGAGTTCAAGTTTAAACAGAAATAATTGTTTGCATACATTGGTAGAAGAGTTATGTAATAAAGATAAAAGGTTGGTAAGACGGTGAGTAATTAATAAATTCAATAACACTATAGTCAGTCCAGCTAAAATCTTGGAAAATAGAGTCAAGCAATCGTACACTATATAAAAAGAGGGAGAGGATAAAGCCAAGGATTATGTAGTCTAAAGAAAGACAGAATAAAGATATGCAGTTACCAGGGCAAAGGAAGACTGATGACTTCTTCTTTCCAGGTTTGATAGATATTTCTTCTGAAAACTTGAGGAGAACAAAACCATTTTGTCAGCTGATAATTTCAAAGGGTTTCACGATATCCACTTAATGATAAACATTGATGAGATGTCTGGCAATCGTTCTATTTTAAGCATTTTCGCCTTGAAATGCAAGCATTTGATTACTTGTGCAGATATTTGTAGATATGCTATTCTTTCTGTTCTTCCAATGTAAACGCTATCGTAGATGCATAAAAATTTGTATACACAGTTAGATTTAACATGATAAGGCTATCTGTTGAATTTTGCTGACACAAAGCAGTTTAGAAATGAGAGTTGGGCGAAGCCTTAGCGACCCCAGCCCTCAAGATCAAAGAAGATATAGGACTGAAGTAATAGGTATCTGCGAAAGCGGATGAAACGAACATGGATTATCCAAATTTTCAACTGGAGAGTCAGTAATCTACTCAGGTCTAGTCTCCTAGACAACAACCACAAGCACGATGAGACAGTGAATCGCTATGATGATGTCACCAGTGGCTGCCGAAGCCTAGATGCAGCGGAAACCAATTTCATTCCGTGAGATCATTACAGCAAGATTCAGCTCAGAAGGAAGGAAGGGCCCAATTATCCAATGCTGCACACAGTGTTACAAACAGCGCAAAACAAGAGAAGAAGGAAGAGTTTTACAGACAAATGCAAACAGTAATGGGCAACAGTCTGAACTGCAACATCAAAATCTTTATGGGTGAAATGAATGACACCCGAACTGGGGGCAGAAAATACAGGAAGAGAACTCGTCAAGGGTAGAGAATGTATGACTTAGCGAAATCAATGAGAACGGCGAATTATTTGCAGACTTCTGCGTGCACAAGCAGGAGGACATGCACAAGGCAGCGAGATTTTCAACTGACGGACATACTACAAACCAGATAGACTTCATCCACCTCAAAGTTTCTCAAGGAAGTGGAAATGCCAGCCTGCTGGACACAAAGTCGATAAGGGGAGGAGATGTGGTTTCAGACCATCACATAGTTTAAAGAACTTTTAAGGTGGAGCTGAATTCTATGAAAACAAATGCAGACAGGCTGCAATTCAAGTTCAACATTCAGACACTGAAGGACAAAATACAAGAGCTGTCTTCATTACAGGTGCGTACAAAGTCGGAAACACTACGTGACATCACTCAAGAAACCTGCGTGGAAGAACATTAGAACTCTCTGAGGGTGGTGATCAAGGAAAGAACTTATAAATGTCCTACAAAGAAAGAAAACATGAGTTCTTCACGGACACTTACCTAGAAAAAACAGAAGAAAGGAGAGTAGGATAGTCAAAGAGAAGGTGACTCAAAGTAAAGATGGGTAACAGAGGTAGGATCTCAGTTCACTGTACACTGCAATGAATAAAGAGTGGAAAATAATCGTAGAAAAGACGAAAGAAAATTCTATGGCACACTGGTCGGTGACTGAAGCAGAACAGGAGCGCCGCATGTAAAAGAGACCTAACAAACCTTTATCCGATAACCAGCCTGCTCTCAATCCAAGAACAGATCAAAGCAGGTAAAACATTTAAAGAATGTTCAAGCAAACCTAATTATCAGTTAGCTAAAACAAATAAAACAGTCAACGGACTCATCACATCAATGAACTCTAAAATCGATCACCACATGCAACTAGCCCAGAAATACCACTACCACCAACAGAACGCACAGAACTGCCTGTCAGTGACACCAATCCTCCAACGAAGGCAGGAATCTTGAATGCGATCAAGCTTCCTAGGACCAGAAAGGCAGCAGGACCGGACGTGATTCCCACATAGACCTGAAAACGGCCGCGAAGACTGTGGTAGATGTTCGTACGCCATTATTGCAAAAGGTAGGTAGGAAGGAAGGAAAAATGCCCACTTGTTGATAGCGATAAAGGATGGCTACCTTTTCAAGCAACCGAAGAAATATGACTCAGGCCACTGCAATAACTGACATGTAATAATTCTCTCCTCTAAGACATAAAAAAACACTAAGTAAAAGATGGTTGTGAGACATCGGCTAGAGGCCTTGGACCAAGTTAGCTTCGTTTCAACCACAGACAACTTGATAACATAAAGGTGCCCGAAACTGGCCAGAATCAGAAATGGGAAATACGCTTTCATCAATCTGAAACAAGTTTGGAAATCTTCTGCACTCCACTCACTCAGCATGAAAAGCGAGATTTGGATTTCGAACACAAATGTGACGTCAGTCATTTCTTCTGCTACATGGTCAGAAACCGGGAGCCCACCGCTCAAAAGATATGTAGGAGAAAATGTAAATAGGTGAACCATACATTTAAGAAACCATCGAGCGACATCGCCTGCAATTCAGGCCGTCACTAGAGTGACATCCGAGTTAGAGGCGACGAGTCGGTCGTCCGTTCGAGAGTGAGACAGAGGAGATCTTGCCACGCGTAAATGATTGGTTATGGGCGGTCGTAGATCCAGCTGCAGTACACAGCAGAGAACAGAAGAAAGTGGAGATGTGTTGTTGAAGCCATGTGTTCCACTTGGAACATAAGAGAATAATAATAATGCCCACTCTGAGACACTGAATCATCTAACTTCATCAGCAAATAATACTGTATCACTGTATGATGGAATTATACTCTACCTCAGTGCCTGAATTCTATTCGAATATTACTGGAATTAGCTTCTGAAAAATAAATTATGAAATATGATATCCTGAAAGTATCCTTTAATCTGATGATAGCCAACAATGCTTCCGTAATAGCAAAACTGAAAGTAAAATAAATGCATACATGTGATTGGTAACATTTGATTTCACCTAAGGATATGGGACTGATTTACATTCAAGACAAAATGTTTACTAAATGTAATAATAATTAAAATCAAAAATACCCTCCCCCTAAAGATGTTAAGTAAAATAAAAAGTGAAATAATAAAACAACGAGACATAGTTTCCGTATACAAAGCGCATGCTACATTACGGCGGCCTGCTTAAATCTTGGGCTACCAAAATTTCCATCCTACATATTGCATCTATTTCCTCGGATTTATTTTGTTTTAATCATTCAATTATGTATCCAAGACGCATTACTTACTCTCGCAATTATTTAAAATGTCTTCAACCCGTTGATTTACGAGTATGTAATAACGTTAAGAAAAAGCATCATGGAGGTTGGCAGAGATCATCAAAGTGTACTCCAATGCATCAGATGACTGTTCCTGTGATTATGAGCACAAATTGCAGGTCATTATCGAACAAGATTAACTACTTCCATTCTCTATTATACTCAAATGTATATTGTAATACTGGTGTAATCACTCTTCAAGAGACTTAGCTCCATGATTCATATGACGACAATTTAGTCTCCCTAAGTGGGTTCACAATCTACAGACAAGACCGATGCAGCTCGAAGAAGAAGAGAGGTGGTGGTGTTGCCACTTTTATTAATTCTCAGTGGTCTACTGCCAACAACGTCTGCTTCAAATTCTCAAATGACAATATTGACTGTATAACTGTAAAATGTCGACCTAAACACTTACCCAAGTACAGCTCCATTTCTGTCACAAATATCTATATCACACCTTGTTGCAGTCCCTCAGAACTATCTGTCTTCGCTGATGAATTCACTATTTTTGCTGCTGCTTCGTTTGGTAACTCCTTATCTATAGTGACCGGCGACTTCAACTCCAGCGACTGCAGTTTTATTACATTGCTGGGCCATGCAAATGTTGTTAATTTCCCAACTCGACAAAATACTTCACTTGATTTAGTATTTATAAATGATAAACAATATTCCATATTCTTTTGATGTATGTACTCTTAACAAATCTTTTATTTACTCTCCCTCAAATGCCATGCTTCCCAGCATCACTTGTGTTAATAATAGCCCCTTTCCAGGTTTTAACACAAATGATGTTCAAAAGTGCCTCAAGTCTCTAAACCCTTCCCAGAGCTTAGGTCCCGATTATGTACCTAGTATTATTTTTTAAAAATGTTCTGATATTCTGTGTCACCCTCTTACTGATCTATTTAACAAATCTTTTTCCGATAATATTGTGCCTGCCGTTTGGAAGGACATTAAAGTTGTACCCATACCTAAATCTTCTACTGGAGCATGTGTCAAATTTAGACCCATTGCTATTACCTCTCCTTTTTTGAAAACTATGGAGAAATTACTTTTACTTAGTCTTGAACCTTCGCTTAAATCCTTTAATGACCCTAAACAATTTGCCTATAAGCACAGTAGAAGCACTTTAGATGCAGCTGCCGTCTTATATCATAACATTGCTTCCAGTCTAGACAAGGGGGCTAAATTTGTTCGTTGCGCCTTCCTAGACTATACATCTGCTTTCGACTCGGTCCCTAGGGACATCTTATTAAATAAACTTGCTGCTAGTCAAACAGAATGTTGGGCTGTTAACTGGTTGCATTCCTATTTCTCAGATAGAAAGCAGTACACCGTATATAAAGGGAAGTCTCCACTTCATTGCCTAC